TTGTTTTTGTTGTAAAACACCTTGCATGTATTCAAACTACTTGTTTATTCAGTTGTAATGTATAAATGCTAAATTTAATTATTCATTTATTACTTAAACTTTCATTTATGAAGTTTATTATTGAAATTATACAGGGTGTAGTGATTTTTGTTCAGATTAACGATGCTCTGTTCTTTTTCTAAATTAGCACAAACCGTTGTAAATGACTACATGTAGTTTATTTATGCCCACCTGCTTACTATCATTAAAGTACTAGACTGCTTTATGAACAGAATCATTTCTGATCTTGTGAACAAACACCTTTTGAAATTAGCAGGAACTTTAATGTAAATAATTTATTTAAAAATGCTACCTGTACTTCATCATCTAACAGCCATTTTCTTGTGTGTTATTCCTAGGCAATAGAAAGCGCAAATCAACAAGTGAGCTTTGTTTCTGCACATACAGAACAAGAGGAGATGAACCAGAAGCAGAAACAGGAACACTTCCATTTTATTTGTGAGGATGCCAAAAGGCAAGGCAAGAAGAAGCTGCGGAGAGGCAACGCCAAGCTGCAGCAGCGAGGAAGCAGGAGAAAGCAATTAGGAGGGAGGAGATGGCCTTGAGGAGAGAGGAAGCAGATCTTCGCAGAGAGGAAGCAGCACAGCGAAGGCAGGAGGCTGAACAGAGTGCTGCTTTCAATCAGACACTCCTTGGGGTGCTGGAATCCATTGCCCGTTCCATGGCAAACAGACATGTTTAAAAATATTTAGAGTAGATCATAGTTGATATATAGAAATGTAGATCCTGTAAGGTAAGCCCACAAATAGCCAAACATGTAGCTTGTTAAGTTTGCATATATAATTAGTGTATAATTATTATTTTTTTTGTACAGGTCTTTATTTCTAATAAAAGAAACATTTTCAAGTCTTGAGCTTCCATCTGATCATCAAAAGTGACGTGCTTACAGTGTTTTTTTACGTCAATAGTGTAGATAAGTGAAGTAACTGTTTTTTACCTGTAACAATGCTGGTGAAGATTCTCAGTTATCCTTGACACGGCAAATCCCCCCCAAAAAAGATAAAAACAAAACCACAGGACTTTTTTTAAAAACTGAAGACGTTTCGCTAATCATCCGAGGAGCACTCACAATTCCATGAAAAAAGGAATATGGGATTAAAGTTATAAAGCTGTGGTGTTCTGTAAGCTTGCTGGAGATTGATCTGCATGCACCAGTCTCCATAATACAAGCTTACGGCACACCACAGCTTTATAACTTGAATCACACTCCTCGTTTCATTAAACTGAGAGAGCCTCGGATGAGAAGTGATACATCTTCAGTTACAAATAAAGTCCAGTTTTTTTATTTATGTATTTTTTCGGTTTTATCTGTAATGAGTACTGAAAAACGTAACCATAATACAGAATGTCCATGTGTTGTAAATGAACATTGCAGTGGAGTTAAAAAGGTGTAGGACTTGTGTAATCTACGTTTACAATCATCCTCATTCAGGAGGTTTTCAGTCATTGCATGTCAAACACCTCGGCCATGATGTCCATCTTGTGGATCCAGCAGCTTCTGCATCTTTTTCGCCCAAGGTCAAAAATTCTCTCCACGACTTTCACTGTGGTAAAAAGGAGCACTAACTTAATATTGCTTAACAGCACTTCAATCATGAAGATAATTTGCGACAGCTTAATTTAAAGAGCTGCGTGGTAAGCACAAGCTCTGAAAGAGTTGTTAAATGTCAAATCAAATGTAGGTTATTATGTAATGTACGTAATATATATATATATATATATATATATATATATATATGTTATATATATACATACATACATGTATACAAATCAAATTACAAAAAGACTTTATTAATCCCAGAGGGAAATTAAATGTAACTCATCATCCTGGTTTCATTAAAGAGTTGTTCTAGATGCTGATGGCTGTGGGCAGGAAGGATCTCTTGTAGCGTCTGTCTTACAAGGGATCTGAAGAAGTCTCTGGCTGAAGACGTATATATAAATATTAAAATAGATTAATGTATATATGCATAAACAAATATAAAGTTCTTGTTGTAGGTTTTGGTTCTTTGTTAAAAACAAAAATTAAAGAGTATACAGTTTTTCTAAAACTACAGCCACTAAAAAACGCAGCATATGTGATAGAAGCACAGCAGCAGTGTTTGTTTTGCCATTTTTACACGAACCTGGTAATAAGGCATGTCTGTACATTAAACAAACAAGAATAATTATTAATCCATGTTTATTTTCAAATCAACACTTTAACGTTCACTTGTATCTAAGGAAGGCTGGGGAGGTAAAAAAAGATTAAGGGGTGGAATTAGGATAAGTTACAGCTCATGAGGTACTCCATCAGAGCATCTCTGACACCTCGGCCCTGCTCTCCACCTTGCGGGACAGCGACCAGGACGGGCTGTGCGGCTGGTTCTGCTTCAAGTTCATCGAGGTCATCCATTTTGGTTGTGTGTTGTTTTCCAGCTCTTCTTCTAATACATGTTAGTGGTGCTTAGAAAAGAGCTTAATGTAGCACTACCGCCACCAGCTGGTAAGGTGCGTTGATATTAATAATCCGCCCACTAGAGGTGAACTATAGGCAATGTGGAGACATAAAAATAGAGGTCCCACCAGAACCGGACACAACAGGCTACAACAAGAACCAGACATGTGGATACCAGGCTTAACTGTGTCCCCAAACAGGACCAGAACTGAACCGAGTTGACTGTGGGGGACTTTGTCTTCAATAGAGTCAGTCTCAGCCTCAGTGAGCAGCCCGTTACCTTTAAACGAAGGACTGTCCACCTCCGTGGGAATTGCTGTATTCGCCTGGAGGAGACATTCTCATGCTTTGAAGTGCCGCCGGAACCGGATCGGAGTAGAACTGGGCCAGGGATGACTTCAGCCTCTCCGGTCAGTCTCGTTGTTTTTCGCTGGGGTGGTCTCTTGTGCTGTGGGTGCGGAGGAGTATACGAGCAGGATGACGTGCAGAGAAACGGAGTGAAGTGCATGGACCAGCACTGTGTAGTGCTCGAGAGAAGTTCGGAGTTTGCATTGGTTGCTGCAGGCTTCCATCCAAACTCACCTGTATAATAAATAATTTTTATTCTGGATCACGTTGTTGTCCTCTGCTGACCTGAAATGCCTTTCATTTCAGAAGGATTTTCTGACGGCCCATTTTCTGGCAGCTCACTCTGCCATTTGCTGCGAATTATCCGTTTCTGCCTGTTGTTTCTGGACTCAGCTTCTGTTTCTCATGGGAGAATCCATTCATCTTGGTAGGGGGGCTGGAGCCCCCATCAGCCCAACTCAAGCTGTAGTTGGGTCACCTCGTCGGATTTGTTTGCCCATTTGATTTATGATGTTTTATGGTCTGAGACTTTTCTGCACCATTCATATTATTGTCATTATTTTCAGATCTCAGACTATCTGGAGTCACGGAATCTTGTTAATACATCTGGATCTGCCCACCACTGCAACTTTCACTGTTTAGGGGTTCTGATTGATCATATCTTCATTAATGTTTCTAATGGTTCAATTATGGGGCTAATTGTCACACTTGTAACTCCTCTAATTACACATCAGTCACGAAAAACTCAAGAAAATGTCAGATAATAACACTGTTACTGCTCTCAGGGATTCAGCCCAACCCTGGACCCCCCACTAATTATAGCACACCAAATGATTTTAAAAACATGTCAGGACTTCATTTTCTGCATGTAAACACTTGTAGCCTTCTGAGAAAACTTGATACCTTGAAAATTCTAGTCAGTTCTTATGGGACAGATGTAATCTTTATCTTTGAAACCTGGCTCAACAAATCTGAACTGACTAATGACCTGGTAATCAATGGATTTAACATCTATCGCTGTGATCGTCAACAAAGGGGTGTGTGTGTGTGTGGGGGGGGGGGTGGAGTCACTATTTACATCAGAGATTCTCTGGTTTCTAGTCTTGTGTCTGCTAAAACAATCTCAAACCAGTTTGAGGCCTTAGCTGTAAACATCACCTTGAATGGAGGCCAGATCTTATCTGTAGTGGGTTGTTATCGTCCCCCCTCATCAACACCTGAGGCTCTGTCCTCCCTGATAGAATTCCTTGGAAATTTAAAATTCAAAGATATTTTTTAGCAGGAGATTTCAACATTGACTGGGATAAGTCGACCCCCTTCTGTGATAAATTTAAGGAATGTTGCCTGTCACTTAATTTGACCCAAGTCATAGACTCTCCCACTAGACCAAACAAAAAGTGTCCTGAAAAATCTTCCATTTTAGACATGTTTATAATGTAGCGCTTCCTTTATCCTCTCCCACTAGGATAGCGCCCTGAGTTCAACTATTCTATTCTATGTTACTTCCCTGGGTAAACTTTCAACTCATACTTTTTATATTTACACCAACCCAAATAGGAAACCCAAATAATCAAACAATATATCTTATCTTGATGCATGCTCAATAATCCAGGTAGAAAAATCCAAAAAAGTTCAATCTGGTCCTCTGGACATTCAAAAAAACAAAAAACAAAACAAGGCAAAAAAATCTAGAAACGTTTCGTCTCTCATCCAAGAGACTTCCTCAGTCTGAGGTGCTGTTTTCAGCTCTGTCTCTTAAATAGCACCTTCACAGAGTGGATCAACCAGTTTGCTGCTGACAACCAAAACCAGCTGATCACATGCTCAAGAAGGACCATCAGCCTAACAATTGTAAGGATGTTAGTTTTCTGTGGCCCGGTGTGTCTGTTTCCCTCGTGCTCCTCAT